GACTTGAACAGGAGCAAAACTATGCGCTTCATAATTAGAGTAATAAAGTCAGGCTTCACCTTCATTGGCTGAATTCCACTGTGAGCTCGGGTGTCGATACGCAGGTAAACTGGTTTAATGGTTGCCACTCCAAAGAATCAGCACGGCATTTGGAGATAAAAGCAGTTCCTGTCGAGCTAGCTAGGAGTTGAACCTAGAATCTTCTGATCCGTAGTCAGACGCGTTATCCATTGCGCCACTAGCCCTCACATTGGCTGTGAACATGGATTGTGGGAACAGAATAGCGATTTTCTGGCTCAGCTGCTCCCAAAACCTGAACCCCAGCTACCCTCGCCTGGCTTTACACAGTCACACCTTTTCATCCTGGCTCAATAAACGTGCTGCCAATTAATGGCTGTTGTGATATTTCACACTCTGCTTTAATGCGTCCTGCACATAAAATGTCCTGCAGTTACCTGAAAAGGTTAAGAAATAAACATGGAAATAGATTTACATTACCCTGCTGCTGATGTGCATAAATCAGGATGTCCCAGTGTGGGCTCAATCCCCCAACCTTCAAGTTAGCAGTCAACCCCTCTGAGCAATTGTGCCACAGAGGGTGAATGTGTAGTGCAGGGCGTGGCCTAAATCCTCTCCAAACCCCATTGGTTGGTGGCAGAGGTCGGGAAAAAGTGTCTGTGGATGAGCTTAGATGGCTGGAAGAGGAACACGATGTCCCAGTTGAGGTTGCGGACAGTCCCACAGCTCATAAAGAGGAGTAATGGGACATTTAACCACTTACCATTACCATTTAATGTTAAGCGTAACATCAAAGTGTTGGCCCGATTCTTTAGTTGGAAACCCGAGAATAAACCAGGGTAGATCAAAAGTATAAAAACGACATTTATTGGGTCACAGGAAAAGTATATCAGCTGGGCTCTAACAGACAAAAACTTCTCTCTGGGTCTCAGTGGGCAAAGAGCCCTGAGATCTGGGTGTGATGGACATTATCTCCTGGGCTCTGTCCACCTCTTCAAAGGAGGACTGGACACAACCAAGTCCTATTGGCTAGTTACCTCAGGTCATGAACAGGCCAGGTCCTCATTTATGTAGCTGACATTGGAATGTGGTAACAAATGGTGTGTGTATGTGTTGACCTAATCATCATCAAAGTGTTTGATGTTCACTTTTACTCAAACAAATCCACTTTTTCCTGAGTGCAGATTGAGGAATAACCGCTGAGAGTGAGACAGATTTGATTTGAAACTCATTAACGTTCACTTGAGGTGGATGTAAAGAGTCCACCTTCTGAGGCTTTTAAATGAATGGGGTTTTGGCAGTATTTTTTTTTTAACTCAAATGGGCTCAAGTGGAGACAGGTGTTCCTCATTTCAGGCTAACGAGCTCAGTCAGACTGTGGCCCGCTGGGCTGCAGCTCACTACAACAGGACAGGAGTTTATGAAAACATTCATATTTGGACAACATCAGGCCTCTTAAATGCAGCCTCTTAATTCCACACAACAAAGCTGAGCCAGAGGCTGTGATCGTCCGTACTCTGTCTTCAAAAAGACAAAAAACATATTTAATAAAAAGAAAGTTATTCAAAAAATGTTAAGTTCTTTTTAAAAATCCTAATTTAGTTTTAATTAGTAAAATAGTAAAAAAAAAAATTTAGGGGGCTGAAATCCTTTTATTGGGCCAACTTTTTTTGGGGGGGGAGCAGAATAAAGTAATATCGTAATTTGTTGGGAGTTCATGCACTGAGTTGCTTTTGTTCTTTGAGCAAGGTGATGTTCATGTACGGGTCATTTTGTGCACCAGTAAAAAAACATATACCGATACATTTGGAAAAAAAAAGTTTTATTTATCACTATGGTTCAGTGTAATGCGCATATGGAACTGGTGGGTTTGGTACCTCAAAAAATGTTAAGAACCACTGTGTTATAATAAAGAATAACTGGAAAGGGCTGTTTCTACAAAACAGCTGTGAGAATGCCTAAAGCTAAAGGAAGCCACCAGAAGATGACAAAGAAAAGCAGAAAAAGACTAAAAGATAGAAACAATCAGCACAAGAGAAAACTAAAATGTGGCAAAAAGTCAGTGGAAAGTAAAAGAACAATGGCTGAAGGATACTTTAAGGATAACCTGAAGAGAGGAATAAAAATGGCAAAAGTATTAGAAGAAGAAAAAACGTATAAAAGGCCTTGAAATTTTCATTAAGATACCAAAAGGTTCTAATTGATAGGAAAAGGGGAAACATTGGCTGAAAAAACAGATGTAAGCTGAACAAATTAGAAGCTCAAACACACATGAATCCAAGTTAAATGAAGTTTCACATCTATCTAAACAGTAGAGTATGAGGAAGGTGTGAGGGCTCCAGGCTTTAGCTCTGTGTGGGGCAGGATACTTCTTCTTCTTCTTCTTTTTTATGGCGGTTGGCAAGCAACTTATAGATGTGCATTACCGCCATCTACTGGAATGGAGTGTGGATCGGGATGCTAACTTTAAATACTCCCTTCAAAACAAAACAAAACAAACAAACAAACAAACAAAACAAAAAAACAAACAAACAAACAAACAAAAAGGGGCAGGATACTGTGGGTTGTTTTGTTTTTATTGCAGGAATGAAGCAGCCAGTTTATTAAGTTGACTGGGAGCACCTGGCCAGTGTTCCCAGTCAGGCCTATTTAAGCCGCCTTTCCAGATGCCCACTGGCTGGCTCTGCCCTGGTCCACTCTATGCTGACCATTGTCTTTTTTGTTATTTATCTTAATAATCATTCATTTAGTTGACCACAAACTTGTGCTGCACCTCCTCCTTTGTTTGGGCCTGGAGCCGGTCGTAACAAATCGGGTGCTCGTCAGATTGTTGTAGGTTAGAGTGCATTTTTGATGGGCTAATCCACTTTAGTTTGTCGCTAGTACCGCATTTGTCTCGGATGGAATTTGGCGTCTGAGTTTGAGTAATTGGTAGTGTGTGGCAGTGATTGAAGGAGGTTGATTGAGGAGGTGTGGAGCCTCAGGTGTTTTGTTTTGAGGTTGTTTTCATTCAGGCTTAAGGGGTCTTTGCCGGAGTGGAGAGATGTGAGTCTTGGTTTAAATGTGTGTATTGTTTTCTTGGAGTTTTTCCTGGTAGGATTAGCGACGTCTCTCCTTTGGGACTCGTCGGTGGGGGTTTGTTAGTGTTGGGGTACAGTGGTTCAGAGCATCCCTTTCCCTTTTTCCTTAATCTGGCTCGGGAGCACTGCCCGTGGTTTCGGGGGGGGTGGCCAGTTCACTGGTTGCTACTTTGGGGCCAGCGGGCTCCAGGTGCATAAATACCCGCCACTACGCCTCATGAAGACTAGGGGGGAGTTATCCTAGTTAGATTTGGGTGAGGCAGTTAGCTAGCGGAAAAACTCCAATCTGTGGTCGTAGGTCGTAAAGCACACAGGTGGGTCTAAACTTTTTTTTTTTTTTTTTCCTCCCTGTTTCCATCTCTCAAGTGTGCGGTTATGGATGATATTGTCAAAGCGTTTTTGGACAGTCTGTCTGAGCAGCTTTTGGACAAGTGGTCAAGGTATCAGTTGGTTGTTTATTATAAAGTTAATGTGGGTGATAGATGGGTTAAGGAGTCAATTGGGGCAAGTTTCAAATTGCACTTGTTTAAAATAAAGGTTTTGAACACGGTAAAAGGAACTGCCTCTTTGAGTGACTTGTATCCACCCAGGCCTATGGCTATTCTGTCCGCTAGGGACCGCTGTTGGACATCTGTCTGTCATGTGGTCTGGCTCCGCCCTGTCGTTGTGGCTCCTTCCTCTGCCACCTGTTTTCTATCTGTGCAATTAGTCTGTATTTAAGCTCTGGGTTTTGTTTGTTAGATACTGAGTCTTTGTCTTGTGTCCATGTCCCTGGTGAGCTATTCTGAATTTTTTGTGATGCTTTGTTCTGGGATGTTAATGCCCCATTCCTAGTGATGGCGAGATGAGGCTTCATAAAGCACTGAAGCGTTCCATCCAATTGGTTCACTCTCCTGTTGAAGCTTCATTTGCTCTATTGTGCTATCAAGTGGACAATAAACGTAAAACGTGCAGTGTGATTATAATGAGACTCTGGATTTGGTGTCTGAAGCACTGAATCAATTAATCTATGTTTGTGATGCTTATACATAGATTATAAACTTTTATATGGTGTCTGTCTTTATGATACAATGACAGGGTCCAAATAAAAAGTGGAAAAAAAGGGAGAGCGTTTTCATCTGAAAGTGCGTGTGTTATTTATTTACTGCTGACACAGTCGGCATTTTATTCATTTTAATTTAAAAATAACTTCTCCAGAGTACTTGGCTTCAGACGGTTTAGTATCTTTCAAATTATTTCACCTGCTTTAGAAAGTACCCTTTCACAAGGCACAGATGAAGCAGGGGTACAGAGAAAAGTATTAGCAAGTTTGGATGAGTTGGGATATTGGTTTTTTCTCTCTTTCCCAATATTCCAGGGGGTTCTCCACTCTGGAGATGTTTGGTTCCCCCAAGTCCTTCTGGACCTCCACTACTGCGTCTGCAGTGACATTTTGAGCCCTGGTCTGCAGGACTGTGGGCCCAAACGATGCCACAGTTAGCTTCCCAAGACAGACACACAGGCTGTAACAGACTAAATACAATAATTAATAATTATTACACAACAATCAGAATATAGGCAGTATATATTACCTTGAGTCAGAGGCTGAGAAGCTTCTGGTGTGTGTGGTTGTGAGGAGGACGAGGGGAAAGACTGGTTGTTTCGAATAATGGCAGCACATTCAGCTGTGAGTCTCTTCTCGGTCTATGCTGCTTTATTTGGGCTAAAGAAGCCTATATTTTTTAATCTGGGATCTAGCAGTGTCACCAGTGACATTATGCTCATGGATTGCAGGGTGAAAAGCTTCTCCTGTAATTGTCTCTTCAGACTCTCAGACATCATTTTGCTCTCTGGAGTTTGGAGGGTTCTCATTTCCTCCTCCAGTGCGTGGTGTAGCATTGACAGAAGGGGGATTACTTTAGATCAAGATACCCTTCTCTCCTCTGATGGCTTGACCGCTGCACCATTAAATGGGGACAGCACTTTTAGGGATTCGGCAATAATACTGTACTGTTCTGATGACAATGGGGCAACATCAGTGCGAAGACCTGCCAAAACTGCTCCTCCAGGTTCCCTGAGCTCATAAACACGTTGGAGCTTTTGGTATGTTCTGTTCCAACGTGAGTCCACTTCCTGAACCAGCTTCAGGGCCGGCTGTCCGATTTGCTCCTGCACCTGTGTCAGCCTTTCCTAGAAAATTAGCAATCAAAAAGTGATCAATACAGGTGTCACTGCAGCAGGAAAAACTGCAATGAAATTAAGAACTTTACCTTTGCAGTGGTGCTGCTTTTGAAATGGCCCACTATCTTTCTTGAGTTTGCCCGGATGACAGACCGCACAGTGCATTGGTCAAGAGCCTAAATTCAAAGTATGCGCCAAACAATTTGTGTGACGCAAATGAAGCTCCTTGGCACAAGCCCCCATGTTTGCTGCACCATCAGTCACAAGGCAAGTAACTTTGTTTGTGATACCCCACTGTGACATAAGTGCTGCTTTTCCTTGAGTCACATTCTCAGCAGTATGTGCCTCAGGGAAATACAGCCCCCTTAAAACAGACTGTAAAGAGGTGCTTGCATCTATAAAATGGCATGTCACAGCGAGATGTGCATCGGTGTTTACAGAGGTCCACGTATCTGATGTTAAGCTAACTGCTGAAGCCTTCAACACCAAGGCTTTGGCTTTCTGCTTGGATTCCTTATTTTTGTCCTCCACCATAGCTTTCAAAGCCTAAAGGAAAGAAGAGAACATTTTTGGAATAGCAAATATGGGGGAAAAAATGAAAATAATATGTGTTCACTTCAAGATGAACGAAATGCAGAACTGTCTGATTG